GAAATACACTGAAATAAAGTGGTTAGTTAAAATATAGGTATGTCAAGCTGTGAATCTTAAATTAGTGCAGATAATTTTATATGAATCCCAAATTTCCAGAAACATACAAGATAGAATCACCCCAGTATTTTCATAAACATTTATAAGGTAGGTGATAAAATTGCACTTAATTCTGAAGTAACTCAGATAACAAATCATTCCCATTCCTTGCTAATGAGCATTACAATATGGTTTCCTTCCTTTTCTTACACAAGCCTCACATTTCTGTACACTCCATTTAACTTTGAACATTTTGCCATTAACAACAGCCACACAATTTCACTATCTGTCTTGTTGATCAGCATCGGAAAATAATCACTAATGGCACAGATATCTCTTCAGTCAGCTCCTTGAGTATTCTAAGATGCATTTCATCAGGCCTTGTGGACTTGAAGACATCTAATTTGTTCAAGTAATTTTTAACTTGTTCTTTCCCTATTTTAGCCTCTTGTGATTACCTCATTTTCACTGGCATTCACTACGTGAGATGTCCAATCACCATCAACCTTCTTGGTGAAAACCGAAACAAAGAAGTCATTAAGCACCTCTGCCATTTCCACATTTTCTGTTATTATTTCTCTCCCCCTCCACTCCCATTGAGTAACGGGCCTACCCTGTCCTTGGTCTTCCTCTTGCTTCTAATGTATTTGTAGAATGTTTGCTCGTTACCCTTTATGTCTCTAGCTAGTTTGATCTCATTTTGCATTTTGTTAAATCTGCTGTGAAAGTGTTCTTAAAATGAACATGTGCTTGGTCATCATCTGAGACAGCTGTAACGTGAAATATATGCAGAATGGGGTTAAAACAGAGCAGGAGACATACAATTCTCCCCCCAAGGAGTACAGTCACAAATTTAATTGACGCATTATTTTTTTAATGAGCATCATCAGCATGGAAGCATGTCCTCTGGAATGGTGGTTGAAGCATGAAAGGGCATATGAATGTTTAGCAAATCTGGCATGTAAATACCTTGCAATTCCGGCTACAAAAGTGCCATGAGAACCCTGTTCTCACTTTCAGGTGACATTATAAATAAGAAGCAGGCAGCTGCATGGTGTAGACAAGCCCTCATCCTTCCCCAATCAATCAATGTCCTTGCCAAACACCGCCAATTAATTTTGCCACCCCCAAATAGGAATTAATTAACCCCATACACATCAAATAATTTTGCCCCCAATTAATTGCTCTGTTTTCTATCCACACACACACTGATTTCACCTTGCCCTTCTCCCACCCTCCACAAACCCTGTCATCAGAGACGCCCTCGCAGACACCCCACGCCCCACACACATACCTCTCCCCAGATACCAATGCAGCTCCATCAGTACTGGGCTCCTGCTTCTTCCTTCGCTCCTCTCTCAGCTCCTGGCAGCGTGGGGTTGGGTGGGTGCAGCAGGAAGTCTCTCACCTCTCTCCTAAGCACGTGGATGGCAGGAAGGAGTTTCTGCGTGCTGTCTCTCACATGCACACACATATACACACTCTCTTTCTCTCCCCCAGGTCCCTGAGCTGCCTGGACTAGTTGGAGTGAAGGAGCTGCAGAGCTAGGTGAGGAGCATCTGCAGAGGGAACTCTGCCTGCTCTATGCACTGAGAGAGGAAGAAGAAACCCCTCAGTATGTGGAGCAGCTCCCATTGTCTTACCTCAGGAGGCCAGGAATTGGGGAAAGGCAGCTCATTGAAGGTGATTTTCCCAGGGACTGATGGGTTCCCCCTTCCCCAGGGCTATAAATGGTCTCAAAAAGTGGTTGGTCCATCATAATCTGGATGCAGCAGCTTCAGTAACAGTATTTAAATTTCAGCCCTTGCCACCTGGCTCCATTTTTTAATTTTTTGGCCTCTTGTGGAACCCCTCCCCCTTCTCCCTCCAAGTACTGCTGACCTTCCTGTCAGAGGGTCTGAGAACCCACACGGTGTGGGGGAAACCCCTAGAGTGGACAGCTCTACCAGATTAGAGCATTCAGTAAGAATTATGTAAAGGTTAAATGGTCCAACACCAAGTCTCTGGGCTAAGACAAACAAGTTTTTTCACTCCCCTGAGCGAGAAAATTGCAGCGCTGTAAATTGCCAGTGTAGACAAGCCC